TTCATTCTGAAATATCAAAAAGAAGCATTTTTACTTATTCATTAAAAAGCATTTATCTGAAAGCACTGCCATTGTGGCTTTCATAGAATATTGCAATAGACTTATGCCTACATTTTTGTTGTTGAAAAGTGTAAAATGAAAAATCTTCCCAACTGTAACTGTGGGACAATTGAAATTCATGGGTATTTTTCCAGATAAAATAATTTCTAAAGTAAAGGGATTATACAAAGTGCTCCTGAAATTTTCCTCTTGAGCATCTATACTTCTTGAGAAACTCGTTGTAACTGAATAAAACCAGCTCCTGCAAACATCATCCTTTGATGGGTATTTGAACATTATTTATCCTAAAATTTTGGAATTAGAACAGAAGTTTATTGTGCTCCCTTCATTTACAAGCATGGCGCAGGGCAGCACGCCTTCTCCCTGGGACCGCAGGAGCGTATGTTAGTGAGACTCGAAAATTGCACCCAATATCACCAGGAGCAGCAGATGGGTCTGTCAGCTGTTTTGCTGAAAATAGTGAATATCTTCCCTGGAACATTCATAAGTTGCCTGAGGCAAAATTTCACAGTGGAAACAGTGAGATTTCTCTTTACATAACATTCCTAGTACTCACGACAGCCTAGGTTCCCCCCGCCCGCCGGATTAAAATACCCATGAAGCAGAGGATGATGAATAGGCACAGCTGGGCTGCCAGAGGAGACTGGCAGAAGTCCTCGGCCATAGCGTGCCCACAGCCCAGCAGAGCTGTGCTGAGCAAAGGACATCTCCAGGACGTGCTGCTGTCGCTCCTTTCCTCGTGCATGGCGGCCAGCGGGGCCTGGTGGGGCGAGCGGGGCCTTGCTCAGCTCAGGGGCTGTGCAGGATGGCTCCAGAGCGGTGCTGGAGATGCCCCCTGTGGTGCTTTGTGTTCAGAAGGCTGTTAAGTGGACACATATCAGTTAAGATTTGCACAGGTAGAGTCTGCTGTGATAAGCGACCTTTGGGCACCGCCTTGATTATATTACCTTCCTGAAGTTAATTCTTGCTACTGATTTTTGATGCTTTGTGGTGTCTGTAGCCAATAATGATGTTAAAATCTCTCCTAATTTTTGTTAAATGAAGTGCTTATTGCAAAAAGGAAATCAGAGGTGTTTCTGAGAGTGAGGTTCGTTGGGGGCCCTGGCAGTATTTGACACTGGCTGCCGAATTTGGGTAAAGCAATGCAGGAGTCCACTTGCTTCTGTGTCCTGCTCAGTTTTGATGACCACTTTAATGATGGGGAGAAATTGCTGTTTATGAATTTACATATTGCTGCTGTAGACTGATAAGTGGTGAAGGTGTGCGCCTGTACCAAGGGGATTTCCACATGATTTCTAAGGTTCAGCTCCAGCTTTTGTTGAATTTCTTGCTTGGAAGCCTGAACTATTCAGTGGTTTTGTAAGAAGAAGCATCGACACACTGGATTATTCCAGGAATAACCCTGGAAAGTTATTTAAAAAAAAATCCTGAACACAAAGTGGAAGTTTTAATCTACTGGACATCAGCTATATGCATATGCAGACTTTGGATTGAGTTTTGATCTTTTACTTCATGTGGGAAAGGCTTGTGTGATTAGTCTTAATAGGACTAGACTCTTAATTGGGAAGCGTGTGAGCAAGTGCTCGCATGCATAAGGACTGCTTGGTTGCTGGTAAATCAGCCCTGTCTTTTGAACAGAAAGAATGAAAAGTCTTGTCTTGGGCACCCTTAAATTGTATTTTGTTTGAAATTCGACTGCAAGGTTTGTAACGTGACTCAGATTGTGCAAAACCAAACTGTGTAGTCAGTTCTGGTGAAATTCCTCTTCACAGCCTGACTGCTTGCACGGGAAGGAGTACGAAGGATGTGTGGCACAGCAGAGATTTGTGAGTGGTCCTAGTGACCAGAAGCAGCAGAACTGATGTCCTGGTGACTGTGGTAGAACAGTTTCGTGCTTACATTTTTCTGCCATTCCACAGCTTACTCAAAAGCTCATACTCAGAGGTTATTGCCAATTGAAAATGTAAGATGGTTTAGTTTATTTAGGGCGAGGAGCCACATCACGGTTTGAGAGTGGTACGTGCGACATTTGCCCTTTTCAGATGCCTGTTTCTTCCCAGCTGTCCTGCTCACTTGCCTGCTCACAACAGTGGTGCATGAGCTGATGTAACTAGAGAGCAAGAGAAAAATCAAGGTACGTTTTACACATTGGGAATCATTTTCACGGGCAGAATCACAAAATTGCGGGGGTTAGAAGGGACCTGAAGAGTTACGATTATAAATGTGCCATGAAAAACAGGTGAGCAGAGTGGGATTGAGCATGTTATGCAAGGGGACATTCAAATGGGAATCCAAGCTCCAAATGGGCATGTTTGTTGGTATGGCTGTTCGGCAGAGCAGCACGCATAAAATCTGAAGAAATTTAGAAGCAAATGGGAGTGAGAAAAGAAGTATTTCATGAGTTGGACAAGGGAAAAATTTCTGATCAAAACGAAGTTCAGAAAAAATAAATGGATGGAAATCAAATGCTTCCAGAACAGTTAAAGGAGACATCAAGGCAGTTCCTAGACAGAATGATGTGGGGGGAGATGCAAAAAACATGAAAGGACGGCTTTTAGTTTTCGTTTTTGAGAGGTTACAGCTTCAAAAGAAACCGACTACAACAAAATAAAATGTTTCTCCCTCATGCAGAAGTGATTGGCCATAGGTGCCCATGTTCTTTTATAATTTTGTCCTCTGGAGGGTTCCAGTCCTCCTAAAGCTCTCTCCAGGCAGCCAGTCAAGCTCATTCACCTCAGTGATTAGTGAGAGGCCTGTGGTGCGCAAAAATATTACAAGGAGCCTATAGAGGATCTCATCATGAGCCAAACAGGTTACTGCCTTGGCAGGATTCCTCTTACTGGTTTGTGAAGATAAAAGGAGGATAGGTAAAGGTTAGTATTTCAAAGCAAATGTCTTCGATCTTAGGTATTTGGTGAAATTATTCAAGAATAGTTCATCCAAGTGAAAGTAGTTTCTGTATATTGCTGTCAATGTCAATGAAACCTGAAGCCTGATGCTGGCCAAGCGAGCAAAAACTGCCTGTGGGCTCTTTTTGCTTACACACCTGGTGAATCTGAGCTTGACATAAAGTGTATGGGGAGCAGAACTCAGAACTTGCAAACTTTTGGGGTCAGTTCTGCTGCTTTCAGTTGAGCTAAAACCTCCAGTGTCATGAAGACTATGCAGCACGTACTTGAGGAGGGCTGGGTTCGAGCTCAGGAGCTCATTTCTCCCCAGCTGCCCACCCTGTCCTGGTTCTTGGCATCCTACCCAGCCCAGACCTGTTGACCACCAAGGCAGGCACCAGATAATGGCCTGCAGGTCAGGTCCAATGGTCAGCTGCCTCAGTTCACATCCTGCTGTGTTAAATACACTTCACATCATAATATGTTAGATAATTGGCTCCTCTTTCAGTATGAAATTAATCTTTAAAAGTACAGATTTTCAAACAGCTGAGATGTTAGGCAGCTCTGATACGTAGGGGACCTTCTGGCTATCACCTATGCTGCAGTCACTTCGAGCCAGGGATTTTGGCAGAAGCTGCTGCATGGGATTGCGGTGCTTATCCATTACTGCTAACACAAAGCTGTTTACAGGGGCTGAATGCTTTAGGAAACCACCTCCTACTTAGGAGCCAGTGTCATATCTAACGACCCTTCATCTGAGCAGACCATGAGTGCCAGCACCTGCTGACCACATCTTCTGGAGCCATAGCTGGAACTATGGATCTCTGCTAATTGCAAGGAGTTAACAGAAACATTTGTGGAAGCTTAGCAGAACATTTGTGGAAGCTTAGAAGGTCTTGTTCCCAATCATCTGATTTTTTTATGGCCTGTATGCCAAACTGTCAGGTTTAAGTGCTTAGGCTTCAGTAACTTATCAAAGAGAAGATGCTAAGAGATGGCTATTAAAAGTACATTGCTCAGACAAAGGGGGAAAAGGTACAAGAGCTGGAGTTCACTGTGACTGGCAAGTGCAGGCAAGGTGAGATTGCTTTATCATTTTTATAATGTGGTAAATGTTTTAGGCTTAATTTTGTGGATGATTATTTGCAACTCAAAATATCTGTTGATAAGTGATTACTTAAGGAACGTGCCTGCATCTGGGTGCAAAATAATCCTCCTGTGATGTATGCATCTCCAGCTTATAAGGGGAATGGAAAAGGTGCATAATGTATTGGACATGACAGTGATTTGGACACCAAAACGTGTGTAATTCATTAAAAATAAGAAGTATGTTTCTTTGTTGATTGGCAGTGGCCTTCAGCAATTTGGCAGTGCAGTCTGTGTTCACATTATTATGGAATTTCTTAGTTTTCAGAGGAAACCAGGTATAAGCACATGCTATCCATCAAAGGAACAGAGAAGGATATCTCTTTGCAATTGGTGTTACTAATCTTTGACCTAGAGGTATTTAATAAAGTCATTTTGGCCTGCAGTTCTCCAGAGGTCCCATACATGGTGTTTTCTGAGGTCTCTGTGGAGCAGGGTGATGCTCCATAAGAGAAAGCAGGCACAGAAGTGTTCCAGGTTCCAGGCACCACTGCACTTGCTGTGAAGCAGAGGAAGCTCTTTTTTGGTGGACTGGAAAAAAAAAAAAGGGGGCTACATCTTCAGTGTCATTTGAATCTCGTATTTGTTTTCTGCCATTTTGATGTCTGAATTTTGTAGCATGCTGTGTGATTTATTGGGCACATAAAATGTACATCCTGCAACTTAAAAATCTACATGTTCCTGACTGTACCCTGAGGATATCTCAAAAGGGGGGGTTCAGAAACTGGGGGAAGAAAGGTTTCATGAATTTTGCAAACTTTTTCCTTTAAGTGCTTTTTTTATACTTGAGTGGCGCTTACGAATTACTTACACCATCTGCTATAATTTAATGCATTACACAATAAAGAGTATCTGCTGTTCTTTGTGTATTTCAATACCAATGCTTTCCTTATCTGTTTTCCCCAGCTTGTCATTCCGTGCAGTAGAGGTTCTGTCATGTGATATTACTCCACGCAGAGGGAAGCCAGAGCAGCTTTACACCACTGGTAAGCAGTCAGAGGATTTGCTTTGGTCATAAATGCAGTTTCACATCTGCATCTCTCTTCTCTCTCCCATGTTGAACATGGCATTTCAACAGCTGAAAATTCAGTGGTTTTCAGCTGAATCAGGATTTGAATTAATAGCTTGTGTCTTTCTTTGGAGCAGTGTTTTTAGCCCTTATATTGATTTGTGGATATTCCAGAGTGTGCTCGCGTGTAAACGTGCGAGCGTTTTCTGTGAACATCAATGACATTTCCATGCTGAATCAGGAGTACACCACATTAGTTGTGTTTTCAATATTACTGGTCTCATTCAAGCTCAGTGTGGTATTTCCCACATGCTTGGAGAGCTTTGAAAAACAAGGAACTAATGTTTTCTAAACAGTCATATTTCAGGTTGCTGTATATATATTGTCAAAACACCAAACCACTGTACCAGTGATGACACCTGCGTACTTCAGTTACTTCATTCCTACCCCTATGACTCAAAAATTCTTTATTATTCCTCCAAAATACTTTGTGAGGGGAAAGGAAGATGAGTACCTTGGGATGGACTCATATCTTGCAGAGTAGAGCCACGTCACCTTATTTTAAGAAATGTATTTTAATTCGTCCTTTAGTGTTGCCTTCATTGAAGAGCTCACTCCGTCTTTTAATAGATATGTAAGATGGATATCTATCTGCATATAGAAAAGGAGTGTAGACACCCAATTTTGAATCGGATTAAGTTATTATAGAAGATCAAGAAGCATCCATTTCTTAAGTTCCTTGCAGTACTCAGTTTACCTTGTCCCCTACCCTGCTCTGTATTTTTTCTATGCTTTCCATTTTAGATACAGTTTGGGACCCCATACCAGGAGATGAACTTCTCGGGATCGGGTGTGATTTGTCTCACATAGAAATTCTGAATAAAATTACCAACAGCATACTTACATTCAATTAAATCTGTTTCAGCACACACATCGTTTAGCCACTCAGTAGGGAAATCCTCTCTGCCACGTTCAAGGAAGGGTAATCGATATGTGCTCACTGGCAGCATGTCTGCAAATTTCAAAACACTGTAAGGAGTTAGGTGATGTAGATGACTGTCTTAGTAAATTGTAACCTGACAGCTTCGCTTAGCCATAATCAATTCCCATCCGTGTTGTTCAAAGGCAAATTCTGTTGAGCGTTTTAGTTGTTTCTGACTCAGTGTCAGAAATCGTCAAGTGCCCTGTTCTTGGGAGAGAAGCAATGTGGACATGATCAGAAAATGAGCAGGACGTGTTGTCTGAGGTTACGTTGAGAAAAAACATCAGTCTGGAGGTGAACCAAATAGGTATTCTTACCTCTTAGAACACTGTACGCTCACGCAGGCAGGATAACATTATAAAAACAAACAAACATTCAACAAAGGGAAGTTGCAGATTTGTTTGTGCTTATCAGGAAGGTGTGAAAGGCCACCTTTGATTCTGTCAAATTGTTCTGTGCAGGAAAATGCTGAGCTTTGGCTGGGGAAGCTTGGAGTCAGGAGGTGTCTGAGCACAGGGCAGTCCCATCACTGGATCTTCAGCCATGTTCCTGCTTCTGCAGCAGGTAAGTGGGCAGCAGCGGGAGAACGAGGGAAGTCTTTGATGTGTGTGCACTCACCAGGCAGAGTGCTGTGGGCAGCACGGGCTACTAGGTGACTTGTGGGGATGACAGCAGCATCTGTCTGCGAGTCTTTAACCAGGCTGGCCAGTCAGTACTGCATGTAGACACCTGGTTTGGCCAATGCTGAGAAGTAAAAAGTGTAAATTTCTTGTGCGTTTCCTGTAGACACAGAGGTCAGACTGGGCTTGTGTTTGGATGCTGGATATATTTGAGTTTAAATGTGGGTTTTGGCCAACCTATGAAATGCTGGACAGACAAAACCTTGTCTCTGCTGTATGAGTAGCTTCATTAATGCATACTTCTTTTCCTAACAAACCAGCCTCCTGCTTCCCAGTGAGCAGGTAAGAAGTGAAAATATTAGCCTTTTAATGGTTGGAACAAGCTGGGAGTAAAATGACTAAGATAACAAATGCGGGTCAGGATCTGTCAGAGCTCACAAAAGACCCAGAACCAATCGATATGATTTCCTCAGCCATGAATACTCGAGTCATACAATTGTATAATGCATCCAACTCTTTCTAACATGTATGTGCAGCCTCCAAGCTGGGACTGCACTCCAGGCTTTTGAAGTTCAGCCAAAAGCCACTGCATTTCTGGTTCTTTAGCACTTGCTAAAGAAGGGCTCAGTAGCACCAGGCTGAATTACAATTTTTGTCCTGGGAAAGAGAAAGAGAGGAAAAAAACTAGCCAGACCAGTAGAAAGCCTTTTGGAAAAAGGATTAATTTGTTAAGGAAAGATCTTGAAAGATCAGATGTGACTTTTCTTCATGAATGGAAGTAGAAATGGTCTGTGTTGCAGTACAGTTTGAGAAAGTTCATTAAGGTAGCAGGGTTACATGACAGTGGCTTGAAGGGAATTGATGGATGGAACATGAAGTACACAGAGAAATCGAAAATGAGAAAAATCAGCATAAAACTGTAAGCACGCTGTGGGTATAATGCTGTGGTAGAATGAAGCAGACTTTGCAGATGTCTTTGGTGTTGTTTTTTTTTGTTCGTTTGTTTGCTTGTCTCTTTGCCTAGTTTTAGATACATTAATTGTGGGCTATGCAGTTTTCTTCCTTTGCCATTTCTGGAGGCTGCATCAGCCATCCCTTCTGGTAGCGTTGTTTACAAGAACTTTTGCAACCTTTCCATTCTGTGCCCTTATTTTTGCTACACCTGGTGTAGTGATGCCATAGGACATTTTAAGTGTGAATTGATACTCCTTGTGGTATGTCCTCAGGCCTGTTCTGCTCAGGTTATTTGCGTTACCTGTTCAAACACCCACGTGCAGCGTGGTTACTTTCATTTGTGACTGAGTGCTGGCTGTGCAGTGGGCGCCTCATGAATATGTTAAGAACTTCCATTGATCTCTTTAGCTACAAATAATCATTACAGCAGCAAAACAAACAGTGGATCAAAAATGTGGGAATGTAGCCCAAAGGATGCTGCTCACTTTTCCTTCGAAAATGGCGTGACATGCAGATTTGAGGTATGGCATACAAAGTACTGAAAGGTGTTAATCAGGATAAAAAGCACAGTATATCATTAAGCAAGGAAGAAATAAGCTATGTGTTAGACTCATAAAAAAAAAATAAAATGAGATAAAGGTACGGGCAGCTAGAGGAAGTTGTCAGTCTTGTGTAATTCCTCAGCACCAACATAGCACTCAACAAATCCCCTACTGTAGTTTTGACTGAACACCAATTTTTGCTCTACAGTGCTATGCAACAGTCTCTCAGTGTGCCTGTTTCACCCCAGAGGTGCCTGCCTCTTGTGGTGTCAGTAGAGACGCTGCATATACAGTTTGAGGGCTTTATAGACACATTCTATGTTCTGCAGGCTAACACGTAATACTTCCTTCTTCAGTTGTTTAGTTTTATGTAATAGCTATTTGCCTGGAGAAATCTGAGCCTGGAATAAGAGTTACTCGAAATTTTAAATCAAAACTGTGTCAGGTTGCAACATCCACCAGGGAGGGGGTGGAGTCACCAACCCTGGAGGTGTTCAAGGAGCGTTTGGATTTTGTGTTGAGGGATATGGTTTAGTGAGAACTGATGGTGATGGGTGGATGGTTGGACTGGGTGATCTTGTAGGTCTTTTCCAACCTTAGTGTTTCTGTGATTCTGTGATCTTAACTTGTGGGTTGTTGGGCTTAAGAGAAAGTAAATTTTCTGAGATCTCATCCAATGAGAGTGTCATTGTAATGGGAAGGTGATCCAGTGTTTCCCTCTAGATTTTTGTTCAACTCTTTCCTCTTCAATCAGGCTGTAAACCTGAGCAAGTTACAGAGGGAGGTCTGTGCCATAGCAAGGATAGAGCTGGCTACAGTGCAATTCCTCACCATCTTGTCCCCTTTCAATAAGCCCTGTTGAGAGTCTGAGTTCAATAGTAGCCCACTGTGAGCACAGACCGCAGTGTGTCTGTGAGCATGAGCTGTCAGAGCTGTGTCACTGCACTGTGCAAAGGACGAGCTCAGCTCCATGCTAGCCTGGGGTGGTCAGCACTTGCACTGCTTCATACAATCAGTCCCTTTCTCTGCTTTGATCTCCTTTCTGTAAGAAGATCCCTTTCTTTTCTTCCATGAGCACTTCCACAGATAAAGCACTGATGAATACGATGCAGGTAGCCATTGAAGGACTGGAGAACTGTTCATGTGTCTAAGAGATTTAGATGTAGATTATTGCTAGTTGAAACTCGTTCTTCTACAGAGCCAAGAATGCTTTTAGGTCTTCCTTAGCAATAGTTCTGGTCCTCATTAGAAACTGGTGGTTTGCATATTTGAAATAATTGTTCATAATAATTCCTGTCTGGAAGAAAAACCTAAGAAATGTGTAGGACTTACAGCAGCATGATCTGTCAGCAGCGTGCAGGGCACCAGGCTGGCTTTGGCCCTGCCAGCTTTGCCCAGCTGGCCAAGCAGTAGTGTAGTGTGGCTGTAGCGTGACAGTGGTTTATTGGTAGCATTGCTCAGTCTCTGAAAAGTTCTGGAGTTTATGCAATCATATCACAACTGGCTTGGGATAATTATTGAATGCAAACAAAAGCAACATTTTTTTTCCCTGCACACAGACCGTAGTTGATGTTGCGCTATTTTGGTTTTGTTTTCTGCTTAACATTCCTCTGTAAGTGCATCTCCTCTGAGGCTTGAAATGAGACAAACAAAACTGAGCCAAAGTGACTTTCTTTTCTGTGTGTAAGGGGATGGACGCTGAGTGATAATGACATACTTTGCGTGTGAGCAGCAGGTGCGAGACCAAGTGTCTACTGCGGATTAAAGTAAATATGTTTTTTTCTATATTTAACTGATATGTGACAAAGAAACAATGTTTAAATGTCACTTTCCATGTTTTTTTGTGTGTCTATAATTATACATTCTAATGTGCCAAGTAGCTATTCACTGAAGTTCAAATTTACATAGTAAAGTTGTTCATAACAAGACAAACAAGATACAGTCTAGCATTCATCTCCATGCATCTGGGCTGCCTCCACCCAGCAGTTACACTACCAACAAATGAATGTTTTCTGCTTTCTTGAGTTCACATAAATAGCGTAAATTCCTATAATTAACTGTGATAAAGTCACTCCCCACTATTAAAACAAAGACGTGTTTGTTTATCGGTCCTACTCGCATCCACCACTCTTAACATTACGGTGTCGACTGATGTTTTTTCACTGTGTTAAACAAAGCAGAAATATTCCAGTTGGGCAATGCCAGAGTCCCAAGAGCGGCCTCAAAAGCAGGAGCACCAGGCTGTCGCCTGCTGAATGCTGCACTTCTCTGCTGGCTCTTTCTTTCCCTCGCCGCTTACCGCACCCCCTCCCAAAGGCAGCAGTGTCTGGGGGGCAGCTGGGGCACAGGGAGCAAGGCACAGTGAGGGAGGGCAGGAGTAAGCAGACTGAGGTATCAGGATGGGTTGGTTCTTTAGAAATGAGCAGCATCTGACATTTGGATGTCAGGCCTAAATTTAGTCACAGGTGATTTGGGGGAAAGGTGGTCCAAACTTTTCTGGTTTGTTTTTTTTGTTTTGGTTTGGTTTTTTTCTGTTCCTGACACTAAGCTTAAATTGGTAGCAATATAATTTATTTTTTTTCGTATTTGGTTTTGTTAACGCTACAGGCATCAAATTTTGCCCCAGAGCCTCCCTCTTCTTCTCTGTTATCTCTTGAATTTGTAAGTGCACGCTCAGAGCTTAGTGGGAACTTGGGTTCACTTATTTCTTGCATCCGTTGTCTTCCGTGTGCTAAGGCTGTGCACAGGTTGTGCCTGCAATGGAAGGATATGCTTTTCACAGCTTTTAACATCTCAGAAGTACTACGTCCTAAGAGATGTAGACCACAGAACTCACGTAGGCACCTGAATTGCAGCTCCTATGAAAAGGAAGGAGGGAGGAAATATAGCAGTGACAGTTTTGTTTTGCTTAAATTTTTCACGGAGAATAATTTCATAAGTTATGTCATACTGGAAAGCTGGTATATATTTCTTTCTCTACGTGGGCACATAATCTTCTGTGACATACAGATTACTGGAGAGAGGATGTGCAATAGTGATATGATGCTGGTGGCAAGAAATGGGGTTCGTTCTATACTTTCTCACGTCTTTACCAGCATGTGTTCCTCTTAGTTACACTGGGAGTTTATTCAAAAATTCACTCTTCAGAGAAATTAGCTGTAATGGAGAACACAAGAGGAGATTGATAGTTGGCAATCTTAAGTAACAGAGATGCTCAGAAAGAGCATTATGAAATTCAGAGCCACTGGTGACATTCTGGTTGTTGGTCATCAAAGAAGTAAGAAGTGATTTTCTTCAAAGGTGGTTTCTTCAAATAGTAGAAATAAGAATCTTTCCCTTCAGATTTTAAAAGCAGACTGTATGTAGCTGCTTCCTTCCTTATGGATTTTGCTATACATAATTACCATGCATGAACAGCACAGTGCATGGATTATACAGCAAATTCTGT